AGGTTCCTTCCAACTCTTAACGTTTTGTGATTCCGTGGAAATAATTGATTTCCATACTTCTGCTTGTATTCTGGAACTTTTTCTTCTACCAGCCTAGTGCATCTCTGCTTGGAAGCAACCATTTAACTATTGAGTTTTTTCCCCTCTCTACAAAAATGTAATGTTTTTCCTTACATCTGTTGCAACCCTTTTGGCCCATAAAGTGCATAAACCAGAAGAGTCTATTGATCTCCAGTGTTGACTAGAATAAACTTTTAGGACTGTTTGGTTTAAAAACAAATTTGTTTCTCCTTGGAAAAATATCTCCTGGAGGTTTAAGCATTGACTTTACAATTAACTAAAGGAAAGAACTGGGGTTTTATTAGACAGCGCTTCTGAAGCCCCTCTAATAACAAAACATATGTTTAATAAACTACATAACACCAACGGCAAAGAGAAAACCTTTGCAATAATGCCTTTGTAATCCGGCTGATAGAATTCAGAATTCGTGGAAGAAATCGAACCAAGGAAAACAGGAGAAGATGAACGTGGCATATCAAAACACAGAACATGAAAGGATTCTTTTTGAAAAGGAAACTTCAAAGTTGGGGGTGCAGATGCTGGAGTCACTAGCTGTGATTTGGGATGCAAGTACAAGAACACGTTTTCTGAGTGAATGATGCTTTTGAGAAGAGAGCAGAGAGCCTCAATACAAGCCTGCTAGCCATCGCAAAGCAAGAGGCAAATGCTTTTTGTAAAATTGCAGGGATCTCAGTGGAGCCACGCAGGATCAGGTTTGGTTTTGATCTTCCAAAAGCTCAGCCTACCAAAAGCTCAGCCTACTGGTGCGGTGTGAAGAAAGTTAATGCTAATAGATATTTATGAAACTGTCTTGTAGTCGCTCCAAAATCCTTTTTCATTGCTTTCCAACCTCGTCTAGGAAACAGAAGATTAGGGTGGTTGGAGTACCCGGGCCACAGGCAGAAAGCTGTTGCCTAGTCCAAGCTCTTCATCCCCGTGACACCCAGCCACATGAGCAGCGTCTTCAGGGGAGGTGTGGGCCAGGTCTTCTGTAGGGTTTTGGTGCTGGCATATGTGTTTAGAAAAGCCAAAGAAAGCCAAACTAGAGGCGTTGGCAAGATTTTGGAGCCTCAGATAGGGAGAAGGGATGCTACAACAGCATCATTTTGCTGTTGGAAGGCTCCGTAGGCTGGCACAGGGTGGTCTCCAGCAAGCAAAGAAAAAGAGAATTGCTCAGCATCTTGCTTGCTCTCTGAAACGCTCTCTTTACTCATGCACAAAGAAATCTGGATAGAAAGAGCTTGTCAAAGTTGGAAGAATCTTGCTGAAATCCCACTTCAGAAGGACGCAATTCTGGTTGGGTGTTCAGAGGTAGCTGCAGTGCAGGCTCCAGGAGGGTGGCAAAACAAGCAGAAGAGGTTTGCAGCTCCAGCTGTTGATGATAAAGAAAGTGCTCATGCTGCAGAAGGGACATGAGATATGTGATAAGATTTTGAACAGCATGTTAATCTGTGACCTTAAAGTGTTGTCTGCTGACAAACATGTGCTCTTGAGTGTAGGAGCTTAGAAAAATATCTTTCTCTGTATCAGATCTCTGTATGACCTATATGGGACAAAAGCAAGCAGCTTGGTGGAGCACGTGATGACCAGCCATCCTTACTTCAGGTGTCCCTGCTACTGTGGGACTCGGGTCATCTTTTCAGGGGGCACAATTTAGGCAAAGCTAATCCCAGATGCTGTCCACCTCATTTGGAGCAAAAACGTCCCCAGGTCCCGTCCTGCCAACCAGTACGTAGCATTCCTCTTGAATGTTTGCATCATTTTCACTACAGAACCTAAGCGCGCCTCTCGTGTCACGAAGCAGTAGAAAGACCAAGAATCAGCAAAACTTCCCCCTTGCCCAGTACATTTTCCCACCCTGGGAATTTCTTTTGGTCAGAGAAATCCAAATGCAATTCGATGCCAACACCATGCTGGGCCTAAGAGGTTACAGCCCCTGCAACGCTGAACCATCCAGGGCAACGCTTCCAGCTGGTGCAAACCTGCCCCGAGCACCCACTTTGCCCCCAGGCAAGCCCCCGCTTTCTGACCCAGGAGCAGGCTGGTTTCTACCCCCGGTGCTTCAGCTGGGGTGGGTGTTCAGCCTGGCCAGGCATCAGCTTCTGCTGCTGGTGACAGACTCGTCTCGCGCACTGTCAAGAGACACTGAGTGGATGCCATGCAGTTTGCGTGTAATTATTTGCCAGGAAACCAGAATTCATGATTTCCCAAAATCCATAAGACAGCACTGAGCTTTGAGCCCATGTATTTTTTTAAAATAGCACACAGATCTTCATACGGGTCTTTGGCCTTGTGCAGAAAGTAGAGCATTCTTAAGTGAGGCCGAACATATGTTCAGGGAAGAAAAGTATATTCCTTCTTTCTCTCTTGTAATGATGGTCTTAAATGGAATGATTTAAACACTTTTGCTGAGGAAATCTTGGAGTAAAACAACAGTTTACAAACAGTTGATTTTGTGGATATTTGCACTATTTCGTCCACAAGTAGAGTCAAAGAGAGCAAGAGAGCTGTTAATGCATTCCTCTTTGAGCTCAGTGAGCTCCTGGTTTTACGTTTGAATTATTTCATGCCACATCAATAGCAAACTGTGCTCTGGTTTTAAGGCAACTGTTCCCCTGATGGTGGGACACAAACCCAGGTAGTTCTACACCTCCTTCATCAAAGTGTTTTATCTCAGGATTAAGCAGCTGTCTTTCATGACTTAAAAAATTACATTTTAAATTATAAGCATTAAATAGTTTTTTTAAAAAAAAAAAAACGCATGAAATTCTGTAACAAAAACTTTCAGAATTCATCCTGATAAGATGTCACTGATGTAACAGAAACACTTTTTTTTTCCCTGGCAGAAGTATCTCAGCAGACCTTTCTCACCTGCATAACAGAGGCCTCTGCTTTTGCTTCCTCCCAGCGCATCTGGGAGGTGATGGGAAGGTGGTGGGTGCTCATGGCCCGATGCAGGGGGCAGCTCTGGGAGAAGCTGGTTTTTATCTCCCCTGTTGCAGACACAGCCTTTGTTGGACAAGGGCAGCAGAGCTGGATGCACACCCTGAACTCTGCTTCCCAGGGGACTTCTCTAAACACCTCCATGAAAGCAAGGAGCCAAACCTGCCTTATTGGAATCAAGCGCAAAAGGCTGAGGGGTGTCACACAGCTTCCCCCTGTGGATGTGGCCAGCAGGTCCCCTCAGCGTGGACGAGCCAGGCAGGGTGATCTTGCAGCTGCCAGGCTGGGGAGGGTGGTTAAAAGTCATCATCCGGTCCCACACCACCTGCTTGAAATTACTTCCAGCAGATCTCTGCTGCTGCTCCTCCCTACTTGGGGGGTGCAGCTCCCCAGCCTCATCAGTCCACGCTGGAAGGTCCTTCCCACGGCAGGACAGCTTGGCCCGGGAGCAGCAGAGACATCTCGCCCAACGCAGCAGGAGCACACCTGATGACAACACGAGGAGGGTGCAGACAGTGAGAAGCAGAGGCTGGATCCCAAAGAACTCCCCACCCCGATCCACATGCCCCATATCTGCACGGCGGCGAGGTGCGGTGGAAAGGTGAGCAGGCAGGTGTAGGCGCTGCAGCAGCCCGGTGGGAGCCCTGCAGGCTGTGGTGACAGGGGGACAGACAGCTGCCTTCAGCCAGAGGAGAGGGCTGTAACCCCCCACGCTCCATCTGCCAGCGTTGCTCAAGTCTTCGTTTCAACTGCCGCTCTGCTTCTGATTTTAAATAGCACAGTACAGACAGGAGGAGCACATCCCAAGTGATGAACCAGCAGTTTTACCGTGTAATTCCCTATTTACCTACTTTTAACTACAGCATCTTCTCTTGATCTTTATCTGATGAGAGCAATCTCTTTCCATCGGGAGTCAGGTGATGAGCATTTAATCTCCCGCTGCAGTTTTCTTTGGGCTCCTGCATCGTTGGCTTTGTCATCAGTTGTTCCGTGCTGGGTTATGAACAAAGTGCTTTCATGCCACGATTTGTTGTTCGGTTGATAAGCAGGCGCCTTCGGCCTTAGGCAAATTTGTAGTCGTTACTTAACGTGCAAGCAGGAACCAAGCAGCTAATGTGAATGTACCTCATTATGGTTTCGGGTGGACAGCATGCAGGAGAACACAGAAGTACCCCAGTTTTCAGCCCCACACCCACAGTCATAGGAGGAAAAGGAACTTGCTGTGTGTTCTGACCTGTACTAAGGATCACAAACTGACTTGGGGACTGTGTTTCCCACCCCACGCCTGGTGGGGCTGGCTGAAGGGCAGGGGCAGTGCGCCTGCACACGGTTGGTGCCATGGCTGACCCCAGTGTGGTTTCAGCTCAGATCTTGCCTTTTGCTCCTGGCCTGCCCATCCCTGGCCGGGCTGCTTCTCGACATCATGCCACCGGGCTGTGGCTGTCTGCCCTCAGCTGTGGGGAAACCAGGCTGGTATCTGCTCGGGAGCGTCACCAGGGCAGCCCCATGTCTCCCCTTCCCCTCCTGCGGGAGCAGAAACACAGTTCTCCAGCAGACCCCTGCACACTGAAGCTGGAGAGGGACAAACCCGAGTCTTGGATGACACTGTCGGTTCTTCTGTGACCTGAGAAAGTCACCTTTAACCATTCCCTAACCTGTGCAATGGGGTCAGTGCTAATTTCCCTTCTGCCACTTGCAAAGCACTTTGGGTCTGGGAATAAAAAATGACACCATCCACATCCTTTCCTCCTTTGAGTATAATAAGTTGTTCTTCCTTAAAAGAAAAACCCCACAACCCGAACAAACAGCAAAAGAGTGACAAGGAGAAACAACTCCCTTTTCCATCAGGTGCACCTTTGAATTATTGAGGGTTACCTGAGGCATTTTCCTGGAGTCCCAGGAAGAGTCAGGTATTTGCTTTCTAGGCTCAGCAGCAGAGCACCCGGGAAAGCTGGGACAGGCTGAGTTCACCCTGCCCTTGTTAGCCTTTGGCCACAATGTCCCTGTACCCAACCCTGGCACAGAAAGATGGGCATCATCCTGTCCTGGTCACAGGTACAGCTGGGCTCAGGTGCTTCCCAGAAAGGGAGAAACCTTGAGTGCTTATGATCAAAACTTTCCAGCCTTTTGCTCCCAATGCAATTGATCTGGGACTAATTGAAAGCAGGTTTTGGCAATGCTGTGGCAGAGACCTCTTTGACACAAACCTCAAAGAATGGTTGTCTTCTTAAAGTCACTTAGAAAATGTCACCTGCTCTACGTGCAGAGACAGCAGATAGCCTTGGAAACCTTGACAGCTTTGAGTGCTGATACTGAACAAAACCATTTTGATTGGCATCTTGTATTGCCAGACCTAGGCTACCTGTTTTCCAGCCGTGCTGGAGTGGAAGAGAACTGGTGGAGTGTGTGTTTCTTGTGGGGTCAGAGAGAGGATGATGCTGTGCAGCCAGAGATGGGGCAGATCCAGTCAGCAGCTGCAAATCCAATTAAACTGCTGTTGGAATCCCCCGATGCAAAGCCTTTCCTAGCTCTGGTAGCGCTGCTCTTGACAGGGCTTTGCTTTTCACTGAGCTGTCAAGGGTTGCTGCCCACACCTGGAAGGGTTTGTCTGTCCTTGGTGTAGGGACCGCCCTGGCCCATGATTTTGCGGAGCCCGAGGGGCACAAGCAGGTCGGGGAACTTCTGATTTCCTGCAGAGGTGAGGGCTCCAGCCCAGCCTTTGCAGCATCCTGGGGACCAGATGCTTTCATTCAGCAGATCAAACCCTTGGCGGTGCCCACACCGAGCTTGCTGCTGGGGGGATGTAGTTCATGGTGCTGTGCAGCCATACTCCTCCTTGGGGGTTGCCCCAAAAGAGCGAGGTGGGAATCACATTAAAGGACAAGCAAAGGGCCTTCACTGTGCCACCAGCACTGGGGCTGGTGCCCAGGGACACCGGTGGCCCTGGGCGCTGGGGCTCTGCTGCCGTTATGCCATTTTCTGTCACGTTGGATGGCAGCGGCCAATGTGATGTGACAAGTGGCACGGTCCCTTGGCACCTCTCCCTCCCCCGAAGCAGATGTTATGTGGCTGCTCACAGGCTCCGGGTACGTCACCCCCAGGATTAGGCCGTCTCTTGCCACCGTGTCTGGGGGCCAGCTGGCGCTTGTAGCCTCCTCCCACTCACAGCTTTAACACAGCAACTCACTGGCACAGCAGTAAAATGTGCAGAAACACTTTGTTCACCTCCAATGGCCAATTGGTTCCTTTGCCTCTCAAGCCCCAGGCGGATGGAGAAGGACCCCTTTGCCATGCTCCTGCAGCCTCCGAGCTGCCATCCTGCGCTAGTTTGAAAAGTCAGCTGGTGGAGACAGAGCCACTCCACTAACAGCCTTTGTCATCTCTTTTTTTTTTAAGTAAAACATGGAAACGCAGTAATCACCACTGGTTTGAGTCGGTGAGACTGAGGGCAGGTGAAAGAAAAGCTTTGGGAAGGAGAAAGTTGGGATGAGAGTTTACCATGAGAAACACCTCTGGATTTGAGGGCACTTTCTGCCCTTTGGGAGCTGGCTGCATGGTTGAGGAAGCTGATGGGCTTGGCAACAGAAACTGCCAGATCTCCAAGAAGGACAGCTGGCTAAGGTTAAACCATGACACTATATGACTTTAGGCTCCATCCTGTCACTCAGGACGGGGGAGACGGTGTGTTGCATCGAGTTATCAGGCACCAAAACCAGCTCAGGTTGGGTCACTGCTGCATTTGCACTGTTTCTTGTAAGGCTTCTCTGACGTTAATTCAGGTGGCTCCTGCTTGTCTACATTTAGCCCATATTGGGGGCTAAACTCCAGCAGCTGTTCTATCCTCCAGTGACCCCTCCCCAACCAAGAAGGGGAGTTGAGGAAAGGAGAGCAGACATGCGGCTTGAAATGAGAACAGATTTAATGAGACAGCAAAACTAATATCGATACTAATGCCCATATAAAGTATGCAAAGTTGTGCTCACCCCAGTGAACGTACAGTGGCCACAATAAACAGGAGAGCAGTTCTCAGGAGCAGAGGGATAAGTGAGCACCTCCAGGGATGGTAACCCTTGAGAAGAGGAGAAGCAGGATGAGGAGGAGGCCCCACGTTCAACCGTCCCCCTTTATAACAAGGGTGGTGTTTGTGAGATTGCACACACCTGAGCTCAGCTCGGGGAAGCTGCCCTGGCTTTGGCCGTCCCAGCTCAAGTTCCTGTCTGACCCGAAACTGCTGATGGCTGCACACCATGGCTGGGCTGGGATTCTATCTCTGCCAAACTAGCACACTGCTGTAGTAATGTATTTCCCTTACAATCTCCACCCCAGTCCCTTTGAGCCAGACCGTAAGGTTTAACATTACAATGAACTCCTCCCCTTGCCCCTGCTCCAGCTTGGACTTACCCACAGACAGCAGTCCCTTAGGTTGTACCTGCTCCAGGTGGGTGTCCCCTTTGAGCCGTATTCTCTTCCAGGGTGTGCCTGCTGCACTGTAGGCTTAGCCACAGCCACAGTTGCTCTGAGATGCACCCGTTCCAGTCGTGGGTTTATCCGTGGCCACACACTTGAGGTGCTGCAGCATCACCTCATGCACAGCCACTGATGCTTCAAGATGTGCCTGCTGCAGCACGGACTTACCCACAGCCACCCGTGCTTTGAGGTGTGCCTTCTCCAGCGTGGACTTATCCTTGAGCCACTGTCCCTTCAGAGTTATACCTGCTGTGGCACAGGCATAACAATGGCCACGGACACTTTGAGATGTACATGTATGTGTACATGTATGCTCTGAGGTGTCCTGCTCCTATGTGGACTCATCCACAGGTCACAGTCCCTTCAATTTGAGTCATGGAATCATAGAATCACAGAATGGCCTAGGCTGGAAGGGACCTTAGAGATCATTTAATCCAACCTCCCTGTCATGGGCAGGGACGCCTCTCAACTAGATCAGGCAACACATGGGGACTAAATGGGGATTGTGTTCGCACTGGAGTTCCAGCCTGTCCAGCACAGCAGCACAGAACCAGCAGCAACACCTTGTCCCTCTGCCAGCCCAGGTACACGGCCACTGCTGTTATTAAAACATGCCCAGGCACAGCAGGATAAGTTGATCAACAGTGCAGCAGTACAGCGAGCAAGGAAAGCAAAAAACAGCCACTAATACGCAGTAAGGCAAGAAAGCCCCCATGGCAAGCACAGGAGCCTGCCAGGTAATAGCTAAGCAGCAATGACAGCTGTAAATTCTATCTAGCACATTCCAATCAAATCTGTTGTTACCTCAAACCCTTCAAGCCCCACCCTGGGCACAAAAAAGGGCTGTTTTGGCTTAACTCCAGCTGGCAACTGAGCCCCATGCAGCCGCTTGCTTACTCCTGCCTGTTGGGATTGGGGAAAGAATCAGAAGGGTAAAATCTTGTGATTTGAGATAAAGAGTTGAGGCTTGAGATAAAGACAGCTTCGTCAGTAAAGCAAAAGCTGCAAGTGCACTCCGAGCAAACCAAGGGATTCGTTA